TACCCCAGCTTCCTCAGTGCCTGGGTAGGGAGGAGGCACCACAGCTGCAACCTGCTCGGCCCCGGAGCACATGGAGGGCAGGCGCTGGGGCAGCAACACTGTATAAAACTACGGTACGCCCACATCTGGAATACCGTGTACAGATGTGGCCTCCTCACCTCAAAAAAGATATTTTGGCCTTGGAAAGGTTCAGAAAAGGGCAACTAAAATGATGAGGGGTTTGGAACGGGTCCTATATGAAGAGAGGCTAAAGCGACTGGGACTTTTCAGTTTAGAAAAGAGGAGACTGAGGGGGGATATGATGAGATCTATAAAATCATGAGTGGTGTGGAGAGGGCCGATAAAGAAAAGTTATTTATTAGTTCCCATAATAGAAGAACTAGAGGACACCAAATGAAATTAATGGGTAGCAGGTTTAAAACTAATAAAAGAAAGTTCTTCTTCACACAGCGTGTAGTCAACCTGTGGAACTCCTTGCCAGAGGAGGCTGTGAAGGCTAGGACTATAACAGAGTTTAAAGAGAAGCTAGATAATTTCTTGGAGGTTAGGTCTCTAAAAGGCTATTAGCCAGGGGATAAAATGGTGTCCTTGGCCTCTGTCTGTCAGAGGCTGGCGAGGGATGGCAGGAGACAAATCGCTTGATCATTGTCTTCGGTCCACCCTCTCTGGGGCACCTGGCGCTGGCCACTGTCAGCAGACAGGATACTGGGCTGGATGGGCCCTTGGTCTGACCCAGTACGGCCGTTCTTCTGTTATATTCTAACACTCCGCAGAGGATCTGGGGGCGGAGTGCGGGTGGGGCCGTGCCTAGGTGGCCCTCCCCTGCCTAGGCTGCCTACACCCATGTGCAGCATGAAGTGGTCCTGGGGCTGACAGGTCTCCCCAGGGTCATTCTGGCCCCAACAGTGCTGGGACGGGGGCTGGAGCCAAAGGCAGCCCCTGAGAAGGCTGGGGAACTCAGATCCCGCGGGGGTCTTTCCCGGGAGACGCCAGCCCATTGTGCTTGGGCCTGGGTTATGCCTGGCCCCGAGGGGGCGGGCACTGAAATTGTGGCTGGGGAAGGGGCCCAGGAGAGGGCTGGTTTGCAGGAAGCTGAGAGAGTGAGAAAGAAAATGGAGCCACGTGCGGGAGTGAGCGACAAAGGAGCCTTTATTGGGCTGTGCCGATTGGAAGGGTGGGAAAGGCCGGGGTGGCCTGCAGCCGGCTCTGGGTTTGCAGTGGTTAGTCTGGCGCAAGCTGCAACCTCTCCCCACTTCCTACCAAGGACTGAAGGGGCCACAGGGGATGACACCGTGACAAGTGGCCTCCGTCAGCTGGGGGTGAGAACGGGCCGGGGAGGGAGATCTGAGCCTTGCAGGAGTACGGTGTGTGGGCTGGCCGGGCTGGGGGCAGTGCTGAATGGCAGGCCCTG